ATCTCCTTGAAGTGGCTCGGGGTTTACTACTTCATATGAATGTCCCCAAACGTTTTTGGCTTGAAGTTGTTCTTTGTTCTACTTACCTCATAAACTGTATGCCCTCTCGTTGGTTGGAGTACAAAACCCTGCATCAGCTTCTCTTTCCTAAGGCTCCCCTTCTTTCTATTCCTCCTCGTGTATTTGGTTGTCGGTGTTTTGTCCAAAATCTGTCTCCCACCCGTGGGAAATTGGATTCTCGTGCTATCCCTTGCATATTTCTTGGTTACTCCTTCACTCAAAAGGGATACCGTTGTTTTGATCCTGTTTCTCGGAAATTCTATGTCTCCATGGATGTTTCTTTCTATGAAGATGAGCCTTTTTTTCCTGTTTCTCCTCAGGGGGAGTGTAGGGATGAGGAGAAACTGGTTCAGCTCCCTTATCTTCCTGATCCTCCGCCTTTTCATGTGTTTTCTTGTCGTCGCAAAGGCCAACCAAATTCAAGAGTTGTGGAGAATCCGGAAGCTATACCTCCAGTGCCACCAGACTCCTCAGGGGAGGATCATACTCACTCAGGTAACTTGGCTCCCAATGATGTTTCTGATTCTATTGAAAATGATTCTTCTACTGCTAATGACCTTGACCTTCCTATTGCTCACAGGAAAGGTGTTAGATTGTGCACCACTAAACATCCCATTTCCAACTTTGTTTCCTATGAGAACATTTCACCCTCATTCCGTGCTTTTCTTACCTCTATTGACAGTGTCTCTATCCCCAAGAACGTGGCAGAAGCTCTTTCAATTCCTGAATGGACAAATGCCATGAAGGAAGAAATTAATGCCTTTCATAAAAATGGCACATGGGAACTTGTTGATCTTCCTAAGGGAAAGATTCCAGTTGGATGTAAATGGGTGTTCACTGTCAAGCATAGGGCKGATGRAACRGTGGAGAGRTATAAAGCTCGCTTAGTGGCAAAGGGGTTTACTCAAGTGTACGGAGTTGATTATGCAGAAACTTTTGCCCCTGTTGCCAAGATGAACTCCATTAGAGTTCTTTTCTCTCTTGYTGCTAATCTGGATTGGGATCTACATCAGCTTGACATCAAGAATGCATTCTTGAATGGTGACCTTGAAGAGGAAGTTTACATGATTCAACCCCCTGGTTTTTTGGCTCAAGGCAATGAACAGAAAGTGTGCAAGTTGAAGAAATCTTTATACCAGTTGAAACAATCACCAAGAGCTTGGTTCAGCAGATTCCATGTTGCAGTTCAGCAGAAATGATACAAGCAATGTCAATCAGATCACACACTGTTTGTGAAAAGAGGAGAAGGTAAAATTGCTGCCTTAATCGTATATGTGGATGACATAATTGTTACTGGTGACTGGAAGGACGAAATTCAGAGGTTGAAGTTTTTTCTTGCCACTCAGTTTGAAGTGAAGGATCTAGGACCTGCCAGATACTTCCTTGGAATTGAAGTTGCCCGATCAAAGAGGGGTATCTTCATTTATCAAAGGAAATATGTCCAAGATTTACTTCAAGACATTGGGAAGATGGGGGTGAAGCCAGTTGACTCTCCCATTGACCCCAACCATAAATTAGGTGACAACCAAGGTGAACCTCTCAAGGATGTGAAACAGTTTCAGAGGCTTGTAGGGAGATTGTTATACCTTTCTATGACTCGTCCAGACATCGCATATGCTGTTGGTGTCCTCAATCAGTTCATGCATGCTCCTAGGTCCTCTCATCTTGAAGCAACAGAGAGAATCCTCTGATATCTAAAGAAGTTTCCTGGTACTGGCTTGTTATTTCAAAAGCATGGGCATTTGAAAGTTGAAGTTTATACAGGTGCAGATTGGGCTGGATCCCAAAGTGACAGAAAGTCTACTAGTGGCTACTACACCCTTTATAGGAGGGAACCTTGTYACATGGAGGAGTAAAAAGCAAAATGTGGTGGCTAGATCCAGTGTTGAAGCTGAATATCGTGCTATGGCCCACGGGGTAGCTGAAGGCATGTGGATAAAGAATTTGTTGAGTGAGTTGGGTTTCCCAGTGGACAAACCTATGACTCTATTATGTGATAACAAAGCAGCTATAAGCATTGCTGCCAATCCAGTGCTACATGATAGAACAAAACACATCGAAGTTGACAAGCATTTTATTAGAGAGAAAGTCATCACAGGCGAAGTGTGTACTCCCTATGTCAGCTCTGAGAACCAACTTGCAGACATCTTTACAAAGGGTCTAAACCATTCCAGACATCATGATCTCTGTGACAAGTTGGGCATGATTGATATCTATGTGCCAACTTGAGGGGGAGTGTTGACAGATGTTGTTATTCACAGGTTTAGTACCGCAAGGGTACTGTTGTAATTTTCCCCATCTTTATGTTGTACGACTAGACTAGTATAAATAATAACTACTGCACATGCCTGCAGTATTCTGTGGGGCTTTTCAGTCCTCTCGACTCTCCTCTCCTCTCTCCTTCTCTTCTCTCCTCTCCTCTCTTCTCTTCTCTTGCTCTTGCTCAACAATTTTATTATTTATGGCTTAGTATCTGGTGTTTTATCAAGTACATATTGTGTTGCTAAGCATGTACAGGTATCTAGGAGTTATTGCCTGACATATCACTAATAAAGACCATTTTTCATTCATAAAGATCTTTGACTTGACAAATTCTCTTGAAGTACTAAATTGGTCTGGACTTTTCCATGATTCTCAAGTAAACTGGTAGTGTTTTAGAAGGCGTGGGAGGCGTACGCCTGGAGGCACACCTCAAGGCAAGGCGCCCCCAAAACGCCCTGAGGCACTGACACCTCTGAGGTGTATGCCAGAGGTGCAAGAGGCATACGCCTCATATACTTTTTTCATGAGGTGTGCTAGAGGCGTACGCCTCATGTAAAGACAGAAAAAAGGAAAAAAGAAAGAAAAAAAGAAAAGAAAGAAAGAGAAGAAAATGAAAGAAAAGAAAAGGAAAGGGAAGGGAGGAAAAGGTAAGGGAAAAGAAAAATGAGATTCTTCTTCCTCTTCTTCCTCCTCATCCCCCCTCCGCTCCTCTTAAGGAGGCTTACGCCTCTTACATTCTGAACTACGCCTCACGCCTCTAAGTAGTGGAATGCCTTGTGTCACGCCTCTGCATTTTAAAACATTGACTGGTACTAAGAATGGAAGAACCAGTCATCCACCAGAAAGATAAAACTTCCTAGCAGCTTTGTCACCTTTAGCTGCAGCAGCCCCTTTTATTGGGAGAACTCCATATCTTAATGTGGTGGTAACCAGTTGTTAAAATCATACCTGTTTGTAATATTTCTTGCATTGGTTTCTGCACTTTTCTATTGTTCTGAGCTATTGGTATGTTGATCTTGAATTTCTGACTCATGTGTCACTTTCAACATTAATCTTAGCATTCGGTGTTGGTTGTCCTGCTTGTCTAAATTGTTTCAGCTTCCACTGGCTGGTGACATTGATTTGAATGCAATAGCTTCTATAACTGAAGGGTTTAGTGGTGCGGATCTCCAAGCTCTTCTTTCAGATGCACAGCTTGCATCAGTTCATGAGCTTCTGGAAAACAGTGATAGTGGTACACCCGGAAAAATGCCAGTCATCAGTAACACCCTTTTGAAGTCTGTTGCTTTGAGGGCAAAGCCATCTGTTTCAGAAGCTGAGAAGCAACGGCTGTATGGCATTTACAGTCAATTTTTGGATTCAAAAAAGTCTGTTGCTACACAGGTATCATTCAACAACTTTTAACGTCGGAATTAGATAATTTATGCCATGTTGCATCCTTTCAGAATTTCTCTTTAATGTTATTAATACTTGATTATCTGTACCATCTTCTCTTAGAGCACACATACTACCTTGGAAACTTTTTATCTACACCATTACTTTTTGAAGTTTTTGATTTCTTCTAAAGGGCTACACAATGGGGGTAGCCCAACCCATAACCCTCCCAACCCAGGTGCAGGTGGGATTCGATCCCAAGTCTTCGCTACAACCAGCAGGAGACTATCTATTCCCTTATGTTTTCTATGTTTACAAGGGTTTCCCTTATGTGTAATATGTAAATCTTTTAGATTAATAACAGGAAAAAAACAATAGAACTATCTATTCCCCCATAGAAGCACACAGGACCAGGACAATACCTCATAAAAGGCAAATTGTAACTACATAATATTTTGGCATCAAATATCTCTTAAGTCACTCTTCACATCCAGCCTATGTCAAGGCATCAGAGCCCTCTCTGGGTGCCAATCTAGTAGCATCAACTAGTCTTAGTCAGTGCTAGTGTTATCCACTACCTCTTTTTCAAATTAAAAAAAGAAATTATTCAGCTCCTCCAATGTCACTTTTCTGCTAAAATCTCTTAAACCTGTTGGAACTCTATAGACTAAGATACTGTCTACTTGTGTGCATAATATGTCTCTACAATGACATTTTAACTTCAGGTATTGAATTTCAAAGAGAAGGTGATAATACAGCCTGCCTTACCTGTAAATCTGCCTCTTTGAAATGAAATTGGATATTCTTAATAGAGAGGTATTGATTGCTTTGTAACAACTGGTGATAATACTTGTCCTATATTCATGATCAGTAACAACTCAATTGGGATTGCTTGTTTGGAAGGACATTAATCTTAGCGCTGAAATATGTATTGAAAATTTTTATTCAACAGGATGCTCTCAGAGGATTTTAAGACCTGAGCTAGAGATAAATTTTAATTCACAAATAGCTCTGCTAGATAGCTCCAGTTTCTATACCATATGTGGCCTTTCAATTGATAAGTTTGATTTGACATACTGGTGGTTAGATAGGCAATATGGTTAATGGGTGCTCTCTTTGAAGGTACTAGCTAACTAAGCTAATTGGTTAAGCCTTGGATGCTTTTGTACCTCTGACCAGCGATCAGATCCTGCGTTCAGCATTACCATATGATTGCTGATGCACTGACCACCTTTCCATTCAAGGAAAAAAGGAATATTCTAGAAAAAGACAAAAATCTTAGTATTTTTTATGATATAATTTGTTTCTCCTGCTTACTAGGGCATGCATGCACATGGTTATTAACCTAGCAGATACGGACACTGCTATCATGAATAATGCTCTTTTCTGACACGTTACTGATTTTCTGCAGTCAAGGGATGCAAAGGGGAAAAGGGCAACACTGGCATAACAGCACAGCATGTAAATCCAAATAATCCTTAACCCCTTTTTCAACAAGGAAAAATCAGTTCCATGGTAAACTCTTATAATCTAATTCTTCCTTGTTTTAATTTCTAGTTATTATATTGTTTCCATAGTTGACACCATGATACAATAGCATTGGGTCAGGTTGAGGGCTCAATTCCAGCTTAGCGATTAGTTGCGATTCTAATAGAAACTCTGTAAAGGTTATGTTTCAGCAGTCTGAAAAAGGTCCATACCGCAAATTTCCAGAGGTCCACCTATTGATTTCATAGAATTTGTTTTGCTACATCAGAAGGCCATACAAAGTAATCTTGATTAGTAAATGTTTCAATATCTTTCAAAACCATTTTATCTTGGCCATCCAAAGATTTTAGCCCAAGCATGATTACATGATCAATTTGATGTGGTTTTTGAATCATTCCCATTCAAACTGATTATCAATACATCAAAGTTGTTTATGTGTATCACATGGTACTTGAAGGCATAAAACCTTGTAGCTTTATTATTTGTCTTGTAAACTCCAAAGGCATAATAACTGCGGCCTTGCATGATTCTACAGGACAAAAAGGAGGTCGTTGGCAAAGATTTGTCATTGGTAGAAGAGTTCAGATATGGCATTTCCATGTATTATGGGATGTTTTGTGTATTCTTTTTTCACCTTTTTATTCATATTAAGTGCAGGAAAAAGATCATTAATCAAATGGCATCACGAGATTGATGTCGTATGTTGTAAAGTTTCTGAGAAAGGATGTCATCAAGTAACGAGAAAGGTCAAGTAAAAATCTTCTAGTTGATGGAGGATTTAGCTTTTGTTTTTCTTAACCTTAAATTTACTTATTCTTGTAATATTGAGCTAAAGGTTTTTTTGTCTATGTTAGGTACTAGGTAGGAATAAGATGGATAGGCTATAGGAAATGGGAGATATTCCCTCTCAAGTCCCAATTAGAACAGGCATGGCTGTGGTGAGATTTGTACTTGATTCCTTTCATGCAAGGTTCAAAGTATCGTTATGTATCGGCCGATACGTATCATTTTGGGACCTTTCTGATATGCCCCTACAGTGGGTGTATCGGGGGTTTGACCGGTTCAGGGGATGGAGGGCCCAATATGCCCCTACGGCTGTATCGGGCGTATTGATATTTTGAACCTTGCTTTCATGATAACTATTAGAAGGGATTTTCGGCTTTGATAACCTTTGTACTTTGTGAAAAAGTCACTTTTGCCCATTTACAAACCTTAGGGCCAATTTAGACCTCAAACTAAGTTCAAAAAAAGCCATCGTTAGCCCCAAAACATATGGTGTTAGTATACTTGTTCAAGGGTCGGACCGGACTTTGCCTCTTTATCAACAAAAAATGTTCAGGCCCAAGCTTGAACCTGCGGGCTTGAAATTTTGTCCTAGCCCGAAAAATAATGGGCCAGCCCATCGGGCTACCTGGCCAATGAACAGGTCTAGGTGTTAGTGATGTAGTTCATAATCCATTAAATAATGAATAGAATAATAGAAAATACTAAGGTGGCATTATTAAACTCAAAAAACTAAAAAATTGCAATTGGGTCCCATTGAACAAAATCAAAACCATTTAATGTATAACTAATAAATGTTGAAAACAAGGTATAAGTGGATCCTACTTGAAATTGTAGGCGAGTCCCACTTGAAATTTCTTATAAGAGAAATAATAGGTAGGCCCTATTTAAAATTATTAGTGGGTTTCACTTGAAATTCTGTGGGTCTTGTTTAAAATTTTAGGTGGATCACACTTAAAAATTTCCTCTTATAAAAGAAAAATAATAGGTGGGTCCCGCTTAAAATTCTCACCTCTTTCTCTCTCTCCTTCCTCTTCTTTCACCCATACCGTCTCCTCTGACATAACCACTCATCGGAATTTGGGGTCTTCATCGTAACCACCCCAGGGATTGGGCAATTGGAACTTGGGATTTGCCGATATCGTGTGATATCCTTAGCCTTTGGTGTGGACTTGGAGAGATGATTACGAGAGAGACAAGGAGGATGAAAACAAATAACAACGTGAGAAGCAGAGCAGGGACTTGCTTGGACCTTGAGGGCGAAGGTTTCTTGCTATTATACGTTTGAGAATGCTTGGATTTCTTTGACGCCATTGCCACAGGATTAAGACTAGCAACAGCAACAGCTCGATCGTCCGAGCGTGACCTCAACAGTTCATTCGGAAACATGATTGGCAAAGACCGAGTGTGACCTCAGCTCCCTTGTTAACATATGTTTGGTGAGAATTTTCTCCGTCAAATGAATTGACAAATAAAACCCTGCAGATGTTAGGAGTAGTGTGGTGAGTCAATGGGAGGAGGGCATTTAGTTTATATGTCAGTAGATTTGATTTTGCCAATTCTTCGCGCTCTTGTTCAAAGGCTGTAGCCCCGGGTTTGATAAAATGTGGTGTTTCAAATCCGTGTAGAAATCTAGGTGCCCCGTCTAGGAAAGTATGCATTTCTATTTATTAAATGAAGATGACAGCTAATACTTTAACAAATTAGGACTTAGAAGGCCATGCTTCAAGTTGCAATGGGTACTCGAATTTACAAGGTAGGCTAATCGGCAAATCCCAAGTCCCAGTTTCCCAATCCCTGGGGTGGTTACGACGGAGGAGACAGTATGGGAAGAAGAGAGAGAGAGAGAGAGAGATGGGAATTTTAAGTGGGGCCTATCTTTTAATTTTCTTTTAGAAGAGGAAATTTTAAGTGGGGTTCATTTATTATTTTTCTAAAAAGAGGAAAGTTCAAGTGTGATCCACTTATATATGATTTTCAACATTTATTATCAATATATTAAATTGCTTTTATTTTAGATTTTTAGATTTATTATCAATATATTAAATTCTAAAAAAAGGAAAGTTCAAGTGGGATCCTATTATTTTATTTAGTATTTAATGGATTGTGAACGACATTACAAACACCATGCGTGTTGGATTGAAAAACGCTGAGACCACCTACTAGTAGTTGGTGAACAAGACCTTCAAGGACCAGATGGGAAGAAAAGTTGAGGCCTACATCAACGACATGGTGATAAAGAGCCTAAAAGCTAGTTAATACACTTTAAACTTTGGCAAGACCTTTGAGGTGCTAAGAAAACACAACATGAAGTTGAACCCCAGGAAGTGTGCCTTCGGCGTCACCTCATTAAAGTTTTTTGGCTTCATGGTTACCTAACGAGGCATAGAAGCCAACCCTGAGAAAATACAGACCCTACTTGACATGGAGCCTCCTCAGTCCATCAAGGAAACCTAGAGACTTATCGACTAAGTTACAACTCTCAACTGATTCATGTCAAAGTCAGATGACCGTTGCATACCCTTCTTCTGAGCTATCAAGAAGCTGAAGGACTTCCAATGGACTGAAGAGTGCTAGAAAGCCTTTGAGGAATTGAAGTCCTACCTCGCGTTGCCTCCTTTGCTCGTGCGGCCCCTCTTGGGAGAGACCTTTCTCTTATACCTCTCAGCCTAGGACAAGGCCATCAGCTCAGTTCTAGTACGAGAAGGCGAAGGAATACAGACACTGATCTACTATGTCAGTAAGGTCCTCTACGGTGCTGAAACCAGGTATGTAGAGGTAGAGAAAATAGCCTTTCCTTTGGTGATCTCGGCTAGGAAACTAAGGCCCTACTTCTAGGCTCATAGCATTATAGTACTGACTAGCCAGCCCTTCAAGTCAATACTCTCCAACCCAGAGACCTCGGGTCGTCTAATCAAACGGGTCATTGATTTGTAGGAATTTGACTTGCACTACCAATTGAGGCCCAAAATCAAAGCACAAGCACTGACAGACCTCTTGGTAGAATGCACTTTCAACAGTGCCCTTGTCTAGTCCCCCAAAGAAGATGAGAGGCCTCGACCTACTTGGACCTTTTATGTGGACACAACCTCCACTGCCAAAGGAAGCGGAATAGGCCTCATACTTCTCACCCAAGATGACAACGAGGTGGAGTATGCGCTATCGTTCGACTTCCCTGCTCCAACAATGATGTCGAGTATGAGGCCCTACTCGCCAAGTGAACGGGGAGTATATGAAGCCAGGGAAACAAATATAGCTAAGTATTTGGCTAAGGTCCGAGAGCTGGTAACCCACTTCCAACAAGTTGCCATGCATCAAGTCCCATGGGTCGAGAACACAAGAGTCGATGCCCTATCTAAACTGACAAGCTGTTCGGGGTCGGCCCTTAGTCGCATAGTATATGTTGAGAGACTGGTACGGCCCAGTATAGAAGAGAACCAGTTCTCCCTGTCCAGGTCGAGTCCTGTTGGATGGATCCAATCCTCGCCTACAACATGAGTAGTTGCCTTCTAACAAGAATGAAGTGAGGAAGGTCCAACGACAATCAGCCTGCTACACCCTGCTCAAAGGCAAGTTATATAGAAGATCCTTCACATTGCCTTACCTCAGATGCCTCCGTCGAAAGGAGGACAAGTATGTGCTCCGAGAGATCCACAAAGGCATCTGTGGTAACCACCTGGGAGGTAGAGCTCTAGGACAAAAGGCAATAAGGCAAGGATATTTTTGGCCGACCATACAGAAGGATGCTGCCGAGCTAGTACAAAAGTGTGATAGGTGCCAGAGACATTCTAACATCTCCCATCGGCTTGCCACGACCCTCTTGGCCCTCAACAAACCTTGGCCCTTTGTAAAGTGGAGAATGGACCTCCTTGGGTCGTTCCCTCAAGCCATCGAAAATATTAAGAACCTTTTCATTGCAGTAGACTACTTCATCAAATGGGTCAAAGCCGAGCCCTTGGCAACCATCACGGCTAAGACAATCCAAAGTTTCTTTTGAAAGAACAAAATTTTCCGTTTTGGCACCCCCCCACATGCTCGTCACAGACAACAACCAGTAGTTCGACAACGCAAGGTTCAGAGAATGGTGTGCAAGTTTGGGGATAAAACAATAGTATACCTCGGTCGGCTACCCCCAAACCAACAATCTAGCCGAGGTCACCAACAAAACCATCCTGGAGGGATTGAAGACAAGATTGGACAGAGCCAAGGGACTTTGGGCAGATAAGCTATACAACATTCTATGGGCCTACCGAATGACACCTCAGATTGCCACGGGTGAGACTCCATTCAACTTGACAGATGAGACCGAGGTCGTCATCCAGTAGAGATTGGCTAGCCGTCGCTTCAGACCGAGGTGTACCAAGAGGCTAGGAACAATGAAGAATTGAGAAACAATCTTGATATGTTGGAAGATGTCTAATAGAAAGCCCAAATCAGGGTCACGCCCTATCAACAAAGGGTTGCTAGATATTACAACTCCCGAGTCAGAGAGCATTACTTCAAGGAAGGTGACCTCGTCCTCAGAAAGGCCATGGTGCTCGAGCCCAGTGTCGAAAAACTTGGCCCCAACTAGGAAGGGCCCTAATAGTCAAGCAAGTGGTCGGCCCCGACACCTTTCAGCTAGAGTACATGAGTGGTAGGCCAGTACCTCGTACCTGGAACTCCAAGAACCTTCGGATGTACTACCAATAATGTAAGAATGACTAGTGAAAGTTTTGTAAATAAAGTGTGCAAGTTCCTCTCACCTCGGCTTTAGTCACTTTGGTGTATATGTTCTCATCACCCTTAATCGCTAGGACCCCTCGACCAAATGATCAGCCACAACGCAGAACCTTCACCAAGGTTATACGCTCAGACCGGACGTCGACCCAAGAACTTACGGGAGCTCACCCATCGTTAATGAGAGGCCTTTAACATTGGCCTCGGCCTCGAAGATCCTTAAGGGAAGTGAGTCTCTGTGTAAGCTAAAGAGCTGACATCAGTGCAACACTTAACACAAAACACGACGAACAAACACACTAAAAGAATAATGCTATCTCACTAAGGCAAAGGCATTCCGCAAC